CAGACAAAAGACATAGGCTGAACCATGTCTTGGAATTGAACTGTTCAATTCAGAACTGAAATATTCTTGAATTGTGTTATGCTTGACTTGAACTGACCGCATGCTTGCCCAAGTGGGTGTCTTCCCATGACCCTGCCTCAATGCTGGTGTGTCACTGCTTGTTTCATGGTGACGCTGGGATGTGTTGATGGACTGCTGGATACAAATCCACGTGAATCTGTGATAAGGGGTTCCGGTCATCACTGACAACTGGAGTTCCCTGCTGTGCAAAGCCTGGAGGAGGCTGTTCTGTTCTGCCTGCCCTGGAGCCCTCAAGCTGACCACACATGGGCTTGACAGGTTTACATCACCTATTTAGGCAACGGCCCCAATCACATACCAGTCTCGAAAATCCTGTCTCCTAACAACAGCCACAAAGCTCCATTTGGGCCCCCTGCACAGAATCATTGCATTTTCTGCCTGCAGGTCAGGCTCAGTGGCCCATACATCATGAGGCAACCACCAGTGGTGCGCCACATACAGCTTTGCCTGACACCCGCAAACTAACAACCTGTCATTCACAGACCAGCAGCTTCTCAGCAAAGCCCCCACGCTGCAGGCTCTCTGATTTTGAGCCTAGGGTTCTTGCACCACTGCCGTACTGTCCCCCATCATAGCTCTCTAAACTGGACAGCATTCTGTCTAACCCTTGTGTGCCCTCCGCTGCCCCAGAGAAGCCCAACTCAGTGCCCTGTTTGCTGCCAAATGACGCCCCCTTCAAGTCCACGCTGTCAAGAGACTCAGTCAATGACACAAGGGCCCTATGACTGTTGCAACCGCTGTGCCAGTCCTTGCCCAGCCCACCATCGCGACTCTGGCCAAGGCATTCACTGTCTGTGCAAGGCGCAGCTGCTCCCTTGTCCTTTCCAGCCATGATCCAATCGGGTGCATGCCCCATGCTCGGATTGCAGGGAGCGCTGCCTGCAACAGCTGCTGCCTGCCACGCACTGCGTTGCCTCCCCTGACTGTCAGCGAACATCTCCTGCGATCCACGGAAGGCCGACCGCGTTTCACAGTGAGCCTGCAAGCTCTGGCCTGCAGACTTTGTCGCCCTGGCCCTGTCAGGGGACCTGGACGCCGACCTGGACCTCGAGCTCCATCGTTCGCTGTCGGCGGAAGACCAGGACCTGGATCTCGACCTTGAGGCGTACTTTTTCGATCGCCCAGGTTGCCGCCATTGCGACCCCCGCGGCGACTCCTCGTCCACGTAAGGCAGCTCGCCCCGCAGCCAGGGGTGCCCCAGCATCTCCCTCGGCGTGGCGCGCTCCTTTGGGTCGTAGCGCAGCATCGGCAGCAGGAAGTCTGTCAGCCCCAGCGCCTCCTCCAGGGGCATCCTGTATTTCTCTAACAGCACCCGATCCAGGGGCCAGTACTTGAGGTGCTTGATGTTGCGCAGGTCGCCATTGCGGTTGAAGAAGTCTCTTGCATATTTACCACTGAGGGAGATCCTCCTTGGAGGCTTGCCCAGGAGTTCGATGAAGAGGGCCAAATGGTCCTCATCCCGGCTGTAGTTCTCTCCACTGTGTGGATCGAACAGGAAGTCGCCTGTCACCAGCTCAAACACCATGCAGGCCAGCGACCACATGTCAGCTGGAGTGCAGTACTTGGCGCCCAGCAGGACCTCGGGGCAACGATACTGCCTCGTCTGTATGTCACTGGTGAAGTGCTTGTGAGTCCAGCATGCATTTCCAAAGTCGACGATCTTGCAACTGACAGTTTCTAGCTCCTCGGCAGTCAATGGCAGGTTTCGCATGTCCACAGTCAACTTCGAAGATGTCCCACACGAAGCCATTTCATCCGCACTCCTGATGCCCACGCCTGCAGTGGAACAGCTCTCGTCATGGCCTTCAGCAGTTCCAGATGGCTGTGGCAAATCGTTGGAATGGCTTGGCTCTGGCAGGGCTGTCTCCATCTTCACTCCACTGCCATCAGGACACTGAGACAAAGCCAACTTTTCAGCTGCTTTTTTCAGCTTTCGCTTCATCCGTTTCTTTTGGCTCTTGGTCAGCTGTTGCCCCCCTCCCTGTCTGGCAAGGTGTGCCTTCAGTGCCAGATCCATAGCAGGGGCCGGCACGTGCCTCCTCATCGAGAGTGGCTCTGACAGCATCACATTCTCAGGCTTCAGGTCTGTGTGAATGATCCTGCACTGCCGCTTCAGGTAGTCTAAACCAATGAGCACCTGCCTGGTCACATTCCGCACGACCGGCAGGGGAATCCCCTTGTAGTCATAATGCTTGATGAGCTTGAGTAGGTTGTCCCCAAGGACCTCGAACACCATGCAGACATGCCTCCCGTTGGGCCCCTGGTGCTCGAACCAGTCCAACAGGCGACAGCAGCAGCTCTCCACATCAGGGTCCCCATCCCTGATCTGCATCAGGAGGTCAATCTCATCCCTCGCCGCCTCACTGTACTGGGAAGCGCTCTTCTGCACTTTCAGCGCGACCTGGCCACCCGTCACGGCGTCATGCACCAGCCACACAGTGGAGAAGTGTCCCCAACCCAGCTTCCGCTGCACAGTGTACCGGCCATCCTTGAACCTCTCCCCAATTCGGACTGGATGGTACCCACCCTTCCTGTACCCCGAGCTCCCTTCGTTATCACTGTCAGACTCCTCAACTGCACTCTCAGGCGCCTGGTAGGCGCTGGTCTCGTGCCGTGTGTGCTCACTGTGCACGTGCTTGGGCACGCTGCCCTTTCCCCCATTTTTCTGGACCTTCCCGTGTCTTGCGCCCTTGGGCCCCCTCCGCGCGTTGGAGCCTCGGCCAGAGCCGCCGCGCTTCATCTCCAGATGTCAGCAGGGCTCCAGCCAAGCGTGGCGGGTCACGATGAACCACCCAGTTTCTCCTTCTTGTGCCGGCCAACGCTAAATAGGCAGTCCTGTCGGCAGCCACAGACAATATAAAGATTCGCCATCGCGCCGTTGGGAATTCATCAGGGAATGGCGCCGCTTCCTGTGCGGGCCGCCCAAGCGGCTACCGCTCAAGCCAAGCCAAGACTCGAACCCCAACGGCTCCAAAAAGGGTGCAAAAAACCCGAGTCATCAGAAAAGCCACCACCACCACGGCCCTGTGTCGATCACAGCGATCGGTGGATCGGGCGATTCCGCTTCCCCGACCGTGGGCAGCCACCGGCGCGACCGCCGGGGGATCCGGCCGGGTGGGGCAGCCGCGACGGCATGCGCCATCGATCGCCCCGGCGTGGTCGCGGCCAACCTGCGGGCAGGCCACACGTCGGACCGGGCGTCAGGCCGCATCAATCGCCGCACCCGCCGCTGGCCCCCGGCCCGCGCCGCGCCAATCCGCTGCCTCTCCGGCGACCCCGGATTCGATCAACGACGTGCCCGACCTCCTCCGGCAACCTCCGCGACGAAGCACAGGGTCCGGATCTTTCAAAGCAAAGCCCCCGGCAGCCTCGGGGAGACAGCCCGCGCGGGCAGAACGGCCTGCCTGCCCGGCGGCAACGATCCGTCAGGCCTCATCGACGCCCAGCAGCGGGCCAGCACACCGTTCCCATGCCCATGCCCGCCCCCAATCAACGGCGGCAGCCGCACAATCGACCCCACTGTCCGCTGCCCTTCCTGCCGGCTGGCACAGCCACTGTAAATTCGCAGACCCACAGATGCTCTGCCCAGCACCATGACACGCCATGAGAACAATGACCGCTAGCCGCTGGGCAGCAAGCGCCGTACTGGCGGTGGGGTGTGGGGGTGCGGGGTGGGAGGGAATGACTGCGCACCAGATCGTTCCCGGGGCCTCTTGTCCGCGATCGCCCGCCGCTCGCGGCCCCCGCTGAGCCGCCAGCACGGCGGGAGACGCGGGGGGCGCCCGCCCCGCGGTCGCGCGCCAGCAGACTGACTGTCGGGGAGATGGGGTGGGGCTTGGGGTGGGGTTGGGGCGCTCAACGGGGTTTGGATGGGCATCGGCGTGGAATTTTGTCTTCTTCGCAAAAAATTGGACGGAATCTCTTCACCTAGTGCGGATCTGTATGCACTCCGCTAATAGGGTTGGTCGCCCCTGTGCCCGCATCCGTTGGATGGAACGGTACTTAGAGGGTTGGACTAACATCCTTAAGGAAGCTTCTTGCCCCTGGCCGCGTGGCCATTTGGTAGAGCAATGGGACATCCCATAAAGAGGTACTGGCTCAATCCCCGGTTCAGTCATCCTCTTTACCATCCGTGCTTAAGCTGAAATGGTTCACCTTAACGTGGGCTCTAGTACTTTTTGGCCTTGCTGGTCAGCGAACAAAAAGAGATGAGTGGGATTTTGTTCCGTTTTCACGCCAATTGAATTGGACTTTTTCGCCACGAAAACATCAGGCCAATCGGTTGCCAAAAGAACCTACTCAGCACAAGTGCAATGCTACTTGAATGTGAATTCTCTGATACCACAGACTGCATCCTCATGGCTTACTGTGGCCGGGTTGTAGGGATACTATTGATGCCCGGTCTGGGCCTCGATCAATGGGGCCGAATGACATTGATCAGTGGGCCTCAGCGGAACAGATGGAGTGAGACAGGCACCCATAGAGTATGGAATAGTAGATGTTACTTGATCCTACCCAAAAGTCACGTCACACTTGGCCAAGAACCGCGGCATATTAGGGGCATGATATTTACGGAAACCATGCTTTGCGAGATTGTTTTTATGCTGGAAAGCAACTAAAACAAAATATTGGTTTTCCATTTGCAGTGAGTTAGTGAGTGCCTATGCAACACAACACCGACGATCCATTAGAAGGTGCAGGACAGAAGCCATTTACACCTACGGTGCTCCTGTGTTCTTTGGGGGTGACCCCACACAGTGGATGGGTCGCTAACAAACTGACCGTTTTTCCATCACGCACACGAGAATTCTCGCTCGTCTCAACCTCCTTAAAAGCCCGAAGATATTTGTACATTTGGACTTCGGGCGTAGGGGATCAGAGCAGCTGGACTTTATCCAAGAAACTTGTAGGTTCCACAGGCGATTCGGCGTGAGAGAGCACAAACCACAATCGATGCAATCATCTCAGTTGTCCATATTTATACTTCACATTGTAAAGGCGGCGGTCCATTCTGGCCGTCATCCCCAGAAATAGCGCAGTAAAATCACCCTCAAACGGGTAGCTTAGCCATGTTGACAGCCTCAGCACCACGTTAATTGAGGGTTCACTGAACGACCAGACTTTCGCCCCTCTCACGAGCTGGCTCTTCACGAAGAACTGCTTGTGGCGCTGACGGCGACCAACTAAAACAGCAACAACGGCAAGGGGAAGCTTCAAACAAGTAGCAAACGTCCCAGTGCTATCCAACCATGCAAATGCGCTTGTGCACACTCTCACAGCTGCCGCTCAAAGCACCTCAACTAGTCACAACTGCTCCTCAACGATTGGCAAAGTCAAAATGCAAGTTAGGCTGCCTTGTCCGCAGCATGTTGGTGTATGACACGGAAAATGCTCCTCTCTGCCTTGACAAGGCTGTGCAGAGACGAGGCTTGGCGACTTTTGGTTGGCAATTAGACCTCACTAGAGGTGCCAGTCTTGAACGGCAAGGAAAGGCCTTGAAAACACGGCCCAGACTGGCCGCGACCTTCGAAAAGGTCGAGCGCTATTGCGCTCAGGCCATGGCGATCGTTGCGCGCATGGCCACGGGGTCAGGCAGCTAGGCTAAGAGCCTAGACCGCCCCGCAAGACACGAGCCCCACGCAACCGTTGTTGCAGCTGCCATGCTGGGTGCAACAAATGGAGAGTCCCCCATGGCGCTGTCCGCGCCCCTAGTACTTGTAACCTCCCCCGAGTTTGAAATGCCTCCCTATATGAAACAACATCTTTTGATTCCGCAGAATCTTCCCGCCACACTGCTGTGCCACCACAAATCACACCGGTGCGCACTACTTCCCGGCCAGATAATGCCCTACAGGGCCATATTCCCATCAAAAGCTACGTGGCGCCTCCGTGCGCCCCTCCTGTCCCTGTCTCACAGCGCCCTATGGCAGGTCGCACATGGGGCAACCCACCTCCATTCAAAACGGCACCACCGTACATAAAATGCCATATCTTGCTCACTAAGGATCTGTTTGTGGTGAAATCTCTTGCAAGTGATTTCTTTAAAACACCTCTACATAACTTGGGATAGCAACAGCACGTAGCAATGCTGATTTGCAACTGATTGATCCTTTCAAATCCAAATTCGATCAACTTTCGCAAACCCATTTTTCTGACTAATGGCAGCCAGCCTTCCGTGACAAACCGTCTTGCTCTGAGCTAGGGGCACGCTTCTGAGCAGCTTCCATGTCACAGGCTGCCAGATTTCTCCAGCACCACGCCAGGATGACAAATCCAGCTGCATTACATTGCGTGCCTCCCGCATCAGCCCAGCGACCTCCCGTTCCACTCATCCACGGCGCCCGCGCTCGCTCAAACTCACGGCGCTCCGCCACACAGCCGACCACGCAGGTTGAAAGGCCCTCCCGCTGGCCAGGAAAAAACTCAGCAACTTCGACCTCGATCCGTCTCAATCGGCGATTCGGCCGTGTGTCTGCCATCCTCAATCGGCAGCAGCATGGTCAGCCATGGCCGTCTCGGCTTGATCAACGGGCGTTGCTCGGAGAAACCGATGCAGCCCGACCCGCCAAGCCTTTTTGCATCCAATGCGCCCGGTCGCGCATGGTTGTACCCCTTGCCAAAGCAAGCGCACGTGCCCAACAGCGACCTGGATGCTTCTCAGTACTTCACGCGTTTTCCAAACGTGTCTGACACAGGTGTGCCCGTGACGTGCGCTGCCACGTACTGGAGCTGTTTCCGGCATCACAACTGCATTGTTTTGGGTTGTTTCGGCATCAACATGAGGCTGCCGTGGTCTCTCTTTGTCACTGAAGCCATCTCCATGCATTCTGAGTGCCTTGGGTTTGGGTTACTAGAAAATTCCGGAGCACCCCTGGTTGATGTTTTGGGGTTTCTGCCTCATTGAGCACCAACCTGCTAGATGATAATCAGTGTGACGAAGGTGCTCAGGTTGTCGATATCCCCTCTGCATCATTTCTGGATCTTACGGGTCGCCAGCTGAGTGATATCAATAACTCACTAATTTTTTGATGAAACCCATTTACAGGCGACCCGAACAACATGTATATATTCGAAGGTTCATGCAGTATCACCAAAAAGATTTTCATCGCCTACTGTCCCCCAACCATCATGCCAGGATGCTTCTGCCTACAGCACGCCCGCAAGACCAGCTTTGCAACTGAAAACGCCGATGGAGATACCCCAATTGCAGTCTCAAAACAGCCTCCACCATATTCCCATGCTCAGTTTACAGATATGTGATGAACGGCAGAGCCAACAGCAACAACAAAGGCACCGCCATCGAGGCCGTGCCCTCAGCATCAGCGCCGGCCGTCACCACACTTTTGCCATCGCTTACCATATCCAGCTCCATCTCCAGGCTCTCCGTCAGGTTCTGAAAGCGCGACATGACCGCCCCAACCACGGACGGATCCAGCAAGTCCACACCGGCCGCCCGCACAACATCCAAGGGATATACGCTGCTGCCCAGTTTCAGCATCGAAAGGAAATCATCCACCACTCCCTGATCGCCGCTGCGAAAGCGTGAGGCAATGGCTTCCCCCGCCGCGTAGCTGGTGGCATACACCCAGACGTAGTAGTTGAAGTAGAAGTGCGGGACGCGGAGGAAAGTGACGCTGTCACTGGCGTTGAACGTAATGTCGGGCCCGTAATAGGCAGTGATGAGGTCCAGGAATGCGGCGCCCATTGTCTCCTTTGTCAGTGGGCGGCCGTTTTCTGCATCGCTGTAGATCGCCTCCTCGAATTCGTGGAAAAGAGTCTGAGTTATGAACGCGCCTTCAGCAAGCCGAACCGCCGCGTTCAGCATCACCGCCCTCTCCTTCGGGTCTTCGCTGCGTCCTATGGCCCAGTCTATGAAAAGGTTCTCGCTTGTTACGGAAGCCACTTCCTGCACAAACACGGAAGGGCTCGAATAGTGGAAGGGCTGATTGGTGTGCGTGAGATTCATGTGAACCACGTGCCCCATTTCGTGAACCAGCGTGGCCACGTCACCGAACGTGCCTGCCCAGTTGAGCAGCATGTAGGGGTGATTTCCGTACGCAACCCATGCATACGCCCCGCCCCGTTTCCCCGTGTTGGGGAAGACGTCTATCCATCGATTGGCAAATGCTGTCTCGGCGACTGACGCATACTCTTCGCCGAAAACCTCCCTCCAGAATGCCATGGCCATGGTCCAGGCGTCCTCGAAGCAGTACCTGGGCGGTGGCACCACGGAGGGTCATGCATGCTGAATCGCCTCCATGCGGCGGGGATGGCAAATTTACAGTGTCGTTGAAGACAGGAACATCCAGCATCGATCCAGAGTTTGGGCGACTCAATCCTTTTTCGTCCTTTCAGTTCAGGTTCCAAGTTGCCTTGGTGAGGAGAATCGCGAAATTCGTTTGGCTGTATTGGTCTCTTGATGGAATCTCCATTTGCGACTTTCACCAGTAGGAACGCCAATTTGTCGTTGCCAATTATGGTGCCATTGGACGCTAACTGATGTTATCAAAGTTGGTCTGATGCCATCGCAACCACAGTGACAGAGCCACTTAGTGTCAAAATGGTATCGCTGCTATCACCGCCAAGATCGTGCTTTCTGCTAGTGACTGTTGATCTTCTCTGAGACCTAATGCACTCAGGTTATGTATTGGCCATCTAAACTCGAAGCACAAGAACCTTTTGCAGTGCAGAGACAGTTGCTTCCATAGGGTTGCCTTGTCCAAAAGAAATATTGTAAGGAAGATCCGCGATCAGCAGTGGCGCGGTGCTTCACCAAGAGAAAAGGCCAAGCCTCTGGCGACGATGTGGGGGTGGTTGGGGTGGTTGGGGGCTTCGGGGGGTGGGTAGGGGGGCGCAACGAAGCCCCTGGCGACGTCGCCATAAGGGGTTGGAAGGTTGGCTGTGCGTCAGCAGCGTCAGCGGGATTTGTCGCAAGGGGGGAGGGGGGGGTTCATAGGGGCCGTCGACGGTGTCGGCAGGGCTCTCAGTTCTCCCACCGACGCCACCGGCCACAGGGCGGCGACGTCGCTCCCACCCCACCCCGGCGACGGGCAAACAGCCGGACACGTCGACCGGGACTGGGACTCTAGTGTTCACCAAAGATCGTGCTGGCCGGCAAGCTCTGACACGCGCACGCGTGGCAGTGACGAACAGTTGTGAATCGGCTCGCTTCATCATGACCCTCTTCTGTCATTTGGGCCTTCATTGTTAGTTAGTGCACAGTGGTCACACTCTGGGACGCAAACTCAGCGATGCCGCCCGGCCAGCATGCACATGCGCATCGGCGCGCCATTGCGATCCTCACCTCTTGTCATCGTTGGGCACCAGGTCCACGGCACTGTCGTGAGCGTACAGCGTCTCGACGCCCAGGGCCCTCTTCCGCAGCGCCGTGTAGTTGTGGACGGCGCCAAAGTTGCCGTGCACGGCGTCCACCAGCGACCGCACCACCCGCACGGGCACGTTCGCCCCGTCCAGCGCACGCTCCAGACTGGAGTTGTACCTCGTCACTCTGCTCACCCACGCCTGGCCCTGCACATGAGTCGCCAGGGAGGCCGATAGTGTGTTGCCAAAAGCCTCGTAGGTCCGAAGAAGAGCAGCGCGTCCGACCCTTCGGAACTCGCGGTCCGGGCTCCTGGAGATGCGGCCGTATGTGGCCGGCGTCACCTGCACGTCCTCCCCGTTTGTACCAACAACGGTGGGCCAGACGATGTCGCTGTTCAGCAGGTGGTTGGATATGTCCTGCGGGCCTCTCGCGAGCTGCGACGCCCCCGCCAGCACCAGCTCCACCTCGGGTGACCGGATGTGCGCCTTGGTCCTGTTCACGTTTTCGATGACGTGTCTGTAGGGCGCCATCGACGGCTCCTCCAGGAGTGCATCAAGCCTTGCCCTGGGCAGGGCCGCGATCTCCGGCCCAACGAACGACGATGCCTCGTCCGCTCGCGCAGCCAGGGACGACGCCACGCCAACCATGGCGGCAGCTCCCGGGTCGGTCGAGTTCACGTCGAGCTGAATTTTCGCGAAAAAGTAAATTTCTCCTACGCTGCGGCTCAGCTCGTATGAGGCGTTCAGTGCCGAGACGAGGTCCTCGGTGCTGCTCCCCAGCCTTCCCTTCCAGGCCCCAATCTCCGGGATGGCGGCCTCCGCGGCGGCCACGGCGACGTCGAACTCCTCCTTGTCTTGGAACACGTCGGCCGGGTCCCACCGAAAGCGCAGGGGTACGTCATCACGGGACTCGTAGATCAGGTCTTCGGCGCACTCTACGGCCGCCCGGATGCGCGGGGTGCAAAGCAAGGCGAGGGCCGCTACGAGCAAGGCCGGAAGCCTGGCCAGTCTTGCTCGGGCCGCGGCTGGCGGAAGGCCTTGCGCCTTTAGGGCGGACATGGCGAGAGCCACGCGCGGCCGTCCAGAGAACTCGGCCCGGTCGTCGTCAGCGCCAAGGACTTGCGCCTCAGCGGCGACGAGGCTGCAGCTCCGTCTGGCAGGGCGCACTGCCGCAGTGGTTGCGGTGGCTCCGTTGATGCGCCATTGTTCAAGCGGTGGGGGGACTTGCCATGCAGGTTCCCGAAACGCAGGCAAGATGCCTTGATGATGATGGGAGGTGTTGTGACAAGGACTGATTGCGTATTATAACAGCTGGACGCATGAAGAGGTGGTGAGGCATTAGGAAGTGGATTAGGGACATTGATGAACAGACTAGATATAAGGGACAGAATTCCGGTTGCCCCTTTGGCCAGCGGTAAACCGTTGCCATGGACTTGAGCCAATGATCCCCAGCCTTCGTCAGGGGTCCCGCAATGGCGGTCCCTTGTAATGGGGCCAAAAGCTGGCGCGGTGCGTAGCCCAGACGCCAGAAGTAACAACATCTGTGTAAGCATTAGGTCGTCGGCAAATGCATCGCAGGCGACTTTCCATTATTGGCCCAACAGCTGAAAGCGCATAGGGTGTGTTGCTAGCTGCCTCTGCGCCAAATTTGCCAAACCGCATTTGTTGCCTTTGTGGAATCTACATATCACTCTGTACGGAATGAAATGAATGCGTCTGATTGAGAGGGCGCACTTGTGTGTCAAACATTGGCATTTTGGTCAAAAATCAGACTGCAGTACCACCTATGAGTTCCTTAAATGATCTCAAACTTTTGTAGAGAAGGCATTAATTCAGCACATTTGGCAGCGCATCAGAAAACGCCCAAAATCCCAGACCATAATTTGGCCCATCGCAGTGATGCACTGGCCAGGCGGAAGGTGGCTTTCCGTGTCCAAGAACACCCCACTCTCAAGTCAAGCCTTTCTCGTGGAGTCCACAGCACCGTGGAGGTAGAGGTGACTATGCAACTCAAGCTCCAGCCCAACGATCGACACCCATCGCTGGGGAGCGCCGCCAGAAATGGCCCCTGTGTCTGTTTGAAACCATCACCGATTTCTGGGATTGCAACCCATCATGTGCAGCGCCACACGGGCATGTGTCTCAAGCTGACTCAGCAAAGCGAAGACTCTCTATTCCATCGCGGCTTACGAGCGGTGGCATGACCAGGGCAGAGCCATGTGTCCCAACAGCAATGAACTCCTACAAAATTTTGGCGGCGAAAGGCTTCGATGTGCAGACGGAAGTCCCTAGTGTCTGTGCGGATAGACTTTCAGCATCCTGCGTGGTTAACATTTGAAGGTTTGGACGGCGGCGTCTTCCAAAGCGCCGTGAACAGCCCTGACAGGCCGTTGCGGAGGGAGTGCCTGCGACGGCCATTTCTGGCGATCTTTCTGCTCCTGTGCCGAAGGATAAGAGCGGCTTTCTTCCAAGATTTTCACGGTGGCTTCGCCAGCCTCGCGCATCCTGCGCATGGTGGCGGAGTGCTCTAAAAGAGGTCTTGATCATGAACTTGGCCGATTTTCGGATTTACGATCTCCAGATGAGCATCTGGCTGGACGGTGAATTCCACGGAGGGGATCGACGATCGGGTGGTCTTAAACCCGGTTACACCATCTCACCTCATCTCAGGGATGGCGCGGATTCGCAGTCTCGACGGTGGCAGCGGATATTCACTTCTTGGTGCGCAATGTCAAGCGCAATGCCACCCTCTCGGGAGTGGGTTTTTGGTGTCACCAGCTCCGACCTTGAGATTCTGCGACGGTTCCTCCCCAATAATGTGGACTCGAAGTACTGTATTTTGGACTGTACTTAATGTGTTGACTTAGAAATTTGGCCGGATCATCACATGTGAGTTTGTTAGAGGCTCCAACATTTTTTTAAATAACAGATAAGTACGTGGTATGAATTTCACCTCGAACAAACGCATTAATATGATTCCGGACAGAAGAAGTACGGGTCACCAATGAATGAACACACCACTCCAAAACTGGCAGCGTGGTGCCTATGTCGATACAAAGTCCCATATCCTCCTTCTATATGTAACCTTGTATACAGGCTTGGTTTTTCGCTGTAAAACTCAAGGTATTTACGTTTCTACATGCAAAAACAGTTTTCACGTTTTTGCGCGTAAAAACGCCTAAAGGTATGTAAATGAAACGTAAATACAGCCCCGTGTACATGAGGACAGTACATACAGAGTTGGGGTGTCCGGGGAGTGGTAGTCAGACGCGCTGGAATGGGTAGAACAAAGAATTTTTTTCCATGTCGTCCTTGCCCTTGCCGAGGGCGAGGTGAGCACTGTGTTGTGAGTGCTGGAGATTACGGAGGACTAATCATCGTGTAAACTGGCTGTCCCAACGAACGGCAAAAGCGTAAAAATAGCCGTAAAATTAACTTCTTTTGGAAACTTACTTTTTTGCGCCTAGGAACGTTAATGCAAAAACATGAACATCAACGTAAAAACCAACGCTGCTTGTGTATGGAGGGGCCCGGCGTCCTGAGTATTGAATCTGATCCGTCTAATGGCGCGGCCGGAGGGCATGGCATCCCAGCAGGCATCCATCAAGCGGACTCAACACATGCGACAGCGCCGAAGATAAGCGTCAAGTGCATGCATTGAGTCGCTGCGAAAAGCATCACGTGACTTTCTCATGGTTGGTCCGGCAATAGACAGCAAATTGGATGCGTTGTTGGATGCTTCCAGGCCAATTTGCCGAACTCACTTGTGGTACCTATGCCATTTACAGATTTACACGTACTACCTCAGTTCCGAAGTCCTTTCCGTTATCTTCATCACGCAAGTGGAGGTCAAAATGTGCGACTTGAAGAATTCGCCCCGAACAATGGCAACGCGCCATGTTGATAGCTATATATAAAGTTTTTGAGCGTGGAAAATTGTGCTGCCGTTCCTGAGATATGCTAAGAGGTGCACAGGCGCCGTTTCTCCTTTCGCCGGGACCTAGAGCAGGGCGTGGGGGGCTAGGCTTTCCCTTTGAAGGAGGTGGATCGAGCTGGGTTGTCTGTAGGAAATATAATTAGCCTGTTTGTTTGGTATGCAATGAAGATTCGGCTGAATTCAAACCTAGCAAGAGATGTGGGCTTGCCGCAGATTTTCGGATGACAACAGTAATTTTGAGTGTGTTGTGGCTGAAGGCCAAAAGATAACTGGATTAGCGCAATAGCGTTGAGCCAACTGGTGCACCAAGGTAAGGAATGCTGTGCATACTGACGCTAACCCGATAGCGGTTTATGTTGGTGACAGCATGGCCAATCGTTGAGATTGACAATTTCAAGGCATGGGCCAACACAGCGGAAGAGATGGTCCACAGAAAATGTGATTGCGATGATGCCAAATTCTGGGAAATTTGCAACATTGCCTGTTCATTGCTCGCAACAAGGTTCTTGAACAATTTTGGGGAAGTAGGCTGACGCACAAAAGGAAATTTCTCTGGCGATACAGAGAGGAAAATAGCCCTAAAAGGGGACACTGCCCGCAGGTGTTACATATGTTTTCACACGGTACTGCACAGGCACTACATGGCGTCGCGCCTGCTCAGTTAGTTTTTCAGGGCAATTAATTAGATCCAATGTTTTGCCAACGAAATGTGGCCAGTGCCAATTGCAAATTGAAGTAACAGGGCGGCGCAGACCCCAACAGGGACCACAGATCAACAGAAGAAGCAAGCATCATGTGTCTGGACGACGCAGCGTCTGATTTCACCAGAGGAAATGTACTGGAGAGGGCATCAAACCATGTCCATGGGCCATTTTGGCCATCCGGCTAATATGGCTCCAATGCGGACGTATCTGAGCCAAGACTCACTGTAATTGCACGCACGATTCTAACTCTCACTGCCCGATAGCTCACGTGCAATTGCTACTTTTGATATTCCAGCATTGTGGTATTGAGTTTGCCGATTCCGTGACGAGCTGCTATAAGATATGTGCAAACGTTTGCCGGTTGAATAAAGCTCTGAAAACCAGAAAAGAAAAGGATATTGAATCCACAGGCTCCTGCCGCCTTACAACGTACTTCCTCCGTCCCATATTAAATGTCCTATGTGACTTCGACACATCACCTTTCCATCATAAGTTGTTTCTTTTTCAATCGAATTTTTGTAAAGTTGCGCCTACATTTTCGCAGCATACGGTCAAATTTTTAAGTCAATCTGTTAATAATTGAGGATTTGGCAGTATTTTGTAGTAAGGGACCTCCAGCCAGAAACCCACCCGTTTTTCAACGATTCCGCGAAAAAGGTTGCCTTCGCTGTTTTGAGGAGCACAATTTTGTGGCGGCAAAACGAGCCGCCCGTGCAAAACTAACCACGCAATTCGTATATAAGATCGGCGTGGTGCTCACGAGGAAGTGCGGTGATATGAAACGCGTTCCGAAGGCCCTGAACATGCAATTCGCCGTAGCTCAAAGCTGAAATTCAGTGCTGCCCTGGTGGACCGGAGCTGCCTCCCGGCCACGAATGTTTGGGGCCAAGACTTTTCGCCCTTTGTTGGTACCGTCAAGACCACAAAGGGTGACTCCAAATCCCCCTGACAAGGTGAGAGAAAAGGTAAAGCGCAACATCGCATTCAATGGCAGCCGATTGTGGAAATTGTTGTCAACACGAGATTTGCAAAATTGGCTTTTCTGTGGAATTTCAGACGGATAGATGCAAAGAGAACGGGCAGGTGGCTAACACCGTGTCTCTTTCACAAGGGCAGACGAGATATGTAGTGATGGATTGTATAAAACCCAAAAAAGAAGGGGTTGCTAGTGGCGATTCATGAATTGAGGGCCAAGCTGCTCGCGAAGGCCTCGATTCAAAAATCCACCTGGGCAGGTTGTCCACGCAAAGCCACCCAAATACCTTGGAGTGGTAGGGCTCATAGATCCTAGGCCTGAGCGTCCTTGATACTGCCTTATTCTGCTCGTTGCAGGGCCTTGCATCTCGGACCTAGAGTCGCGGCCATTTCTAGCATCGTCGATGTTGTGACGATGGCCTTTTGCCACGACGATCCAAGCA